TAACATTTCTTTTAATATAAAAATTCAGTATTAATTTAATAAAGAAATTACGTATAAATTAGCCTGCAGAACTGTTTTACTTCAATATTTCACGTATCGATACATTATCATAAACTTAATATCGATCATTGATAATTTTAGTTTATTTAATCGATTAAATAATCTATCATTTTTCCAAGTGCCGACCAGAAGTCACGTTTTGAGCGCAAAGGGTTAAACGCGGAAGTGAAATACAGATATCTCTCAACTTATGCGGTGCTTTTTATTCAAGAAAAATAATCTTTCCATTTCGGTGACGCTTTTTACGTGCGGTTTCGGTTTGGGTTAGACGATCTCATTTCACGCGGTCAGAATTTTTTCATGGTATTTATCGAATTTATTATACATCAGTAGACCACAAATTTTCACTTCATTGTACTAATTGCATCACTTGGACCGTCTCTGGTTCAGTCGTAGTTATTATATTTTCGTAAAAGTACCAAATGTTCCGATTGACGAATATAGTGACATTGAGAGATCGAAAATAAAAAGTTGTTTATTTTAAAGTATAGTATCAACAGTAATGACGATTAAAAATTTGCATTCTTTTGAGGGCTATAATTATTTGTGATGTAATATAAATATTTCTCCAACACATACTACCTTTTTTCGTTCAGATTTTTGTTATACTGATAAATTTTATTTAAGGAACTTATATAAGAAATATTATACGAAATATATGTTTCACGTATTTAATATATATCAGTAGTATAGTTTCTATTTAGAACAATATGCAACTTCTTACTTGAGACTTTGAAGGAATTCTATATAAAAGATCTGTGCATGGTAGGTTGCATGCTTGCAGGCATAAACCTCGAATCTTTAAGATTTTCATAATAAGAAACAAGAAATGAGTCATATATTTATTAAAAAAAAAAGTCTTCCTTATTATAGCTATAACACCATGCTTGACTGATTTGTATTCAATGTACAATGGAGTATCTGTAACATCTCGTAAAAAATACTTTAAAGAAGATTGCGTAGAAGGCAGGAAGTCGAGTCTCTCTAAAATTATTGTTTATGCGGTTCAATAGAAAGTTCTTATACACACTAAGAAAATAAAAATATTAGATATATAAAATTTGAGATCGGGAATTGATCAACTATTACATAGAAACTTATTTTTAATATTTCCTTGAATTCGTCCATGAAAAATTGTAACAGCGTATGTATGAAGAAAATAAAAGCAATTATAAACACCGTGGATGCTGAAATGTAGTAAATCCTTTATAGAATTTCACTTCGAGAGCAATCACATTAAATAATATCGATGTGTCTGTCTTTGTTAACCCTAAAAGAATAAGTGTTCCTGGAAACGGGCAACATCATTGCTCTCGGTCAACCGTGACTATTGGCCGCCAATCACCGACTAACGTAGCGAGTGGCTATATAGTGTAGAGGCACGAACAGTACTTTTTTCTTTTCTATTAGAACGGAGGGTCCGCCTTCGCAAACTAGATATTGTGTTGCAACTACAATTGCAATCGATCTAATTCCATTAATGTCGTTACTGGCAACTGTCATTTTTATCTTTTACCATCTCTGTAGTACATTTCAAATGCATACAACGATCATCCAGTTCTTGGAAGAATAATTACAGACACGATACCTTTAAAATACTTGCTTTTATACTTGCTATTAATACTTACAAAGTATTTCATAATATTTATTTGCAATTATTCATTATACAAGCGGATTCTAATGTGACTCGATATATCCATGAAATTTTTGCATTTATTTCGTATTTATAAGTTTAATTTTGAAATTATGTTAATACGTTATGTATGAATCCATTCACTGCATAATTGGAAAGTTAAACAAGTGTGCATGCATAGTATATATTTTATAATTATATTTGTCAATTATATCCATCCTTTGTGTTTTTTCTGTGTTTAACTTTCCCGATAATAGTAATTCCACACTGAAACAGATTGATTTAAATTTTGAGATAAATATTAACCAAGATTTTGTTCGGGTAACAAATTTGAAAAGACTTCATTCTTTCACTCGTGCATTTTATAGTATTTATATTTATAGCTTATTACGTATATCTATAATTCATTATATATATTTATAAGTCATCTATATGACTTCAGCGAATAAATGAGATACCATACGGGCTATAAAAAATCTCGTGATGTCGACATGTTAATTTAATATTCTTACTTTTCCCGATATAACGCGATGTTTAAATACTAAAAACATGAACTAGATATTTTTCGTTCGTGGAGAAATATTTCGCGAGCGAAAGGGTCCCAATAAGAAAGGAACTAAAAAGACGTATATAAGATTTGGCCTGTTAATATTTTACGTTGTAATCATACACGCATTAAAATCCTTCCTGATGTACTTTCTTGGTCTAAAAATAAAGTAAAAGTGCACACAGCAAAGAGGAGAATGAATCACTGATCTATTATGTTTTAGTCTTGGAGGAACTTTTAAATCTCTTCGACACCTACACCCGCTCATGATCGTTTCGTCGTGCTAAACGCGACCATGCTCTCTTGCATAACTTTTACCTTCTAATCGGTTCGACCAGACAAAACCGGTAATACCACACCCAACTATCGAGGGTATATCCGTCTACAAGACTTGCAGCTGGTAGATACATTCTCTGTACGATGCATGGCCTTGTATGCCGTTACCGTGATAAGTCACTTTGAATGAATCTTTACGCTCATTTATAGGTTATCGACTCATCTATTATATAATACAGAAGAGTCATTCATAGAAAAAGTTTTACCGATATTCCAAAATTATTTGTTTAATACACGTGGATATATAAAACTTAAATATTTATCAAAATATCTTCAGGGCTGAGGTCATGACTCTTTGGAAAAATCGTACACTTTTAAATTTCTTTCTTTCTTTTTCTATATTTTATTATATTATATATCGTTTTCGTTTATTTTCGCTGGTAAATACTATAATTCGTACGGCATTAAATAGTCATAGTTGTAAAACAACATTTAAACATACGAAGACACTTATATCGAGTTGTTATAAAAGAATGACTAAATTTGAAACAAAATTCAATCGAGTTATTTAGTTGTTATTAATAATGATTATATGAAAAAATGTATGAATTTTTAGCTACCTCCAGAGTACTTATCTCTAATACAAGAATACGCTCAAGAGGCACCACAACCGCAAGCACCACCACGGAATGTGCAGCCAGCATATGCGAAACAGCAGCAAGCATTGCAGCAGGCATATTACAACTACCGGAAACCAACCGTAGTACCACCTCGACCTCGTGCTCAACTTCATCCTCAGGCTTTAGCTCAAGCTGAAATAGCCGCGGAAATCCAAGCTCACGTCGATGCTCAAAGCCGCACAGACGCTATTCGTACAGCTCGTTTAGGTTCGAAACCTTCTCCCGCGTCAGCGTATCAAACGGCACCTTATGGACAACCAAAACTGGGAACATTCGAACAAGAATTATTGCAATTAGTCTCGGCTAATCAAGCCCAAGAATTCAAGTTGCTTCCGACTCAACCTAAAGGAAGTACGTCCGCTTATTCGCAACAATTAGTAAGTTATCCAGCTCAATATGCGAAACCAGCCGTGGAGGCAGCTCAACTACCCGAACAGTATCATATCGAGACTTCTCCCCCGCGTTATCAACAACAACAACAACAACAACATCCAGCACCATCTTATCAGTCGGTCGAAGAGCCTGTTCAATATCAACCAGTTCAACCCGCCAAAGCTTTTAATCCGTCGCCACAGTACGATTATATCGATGACGACACATATTTGAAAGCCCTTGAACAAGCTCAAGCTCAAGCTCAAGCTCAAGCAGAAGCGCAAGCGTTAGCTTACCACAAAATTGCGCAAGCTGCCTATAAGAAGCATAGACAGGATGCGTTGGAGCAAATGAGACTCACCAACGAACGTCACAGACAACAGTCTGCACTGGAACAGATTCAACAAGGTGCTCAAGTAAGCGATGCAGGACGTGTCCATTTGGAAGAACAGTATCAGCCTAAAGACTCAGCTTCCGCTTATAGGGCAAAGTTGAAAGCTCAGGTAGCCGCGGAAACAGCTGAGGCTAGGAAACTGCAACAGGCGCAAGAATTTAAGGCACATGCAGATGCTATTCGTAAACTCGAAGCTCAGCAACAAGCTCATCTGAAAGTACAAGAAGAAGTTCATAACTATGCTCAGAACTTTGACAAGATTCAAGCACGCGCACAAGCCTTGGCGCAAGCTCAAGCCGAAGCTCTTTACAAATCTCAGCTTCAAGCTCGTAATCAGGTTAAAAACGAAATTCTGGCAATCTCCAAGGGTCAAGTACAAGCAAAGAAAGTAGATCCCGACTCAGCCGTGTATCATTATTCACTTTCTAGCACTACGTCTCTTCCTTTGCTCAATAGTTATTTCACCAATGAACAGTTGCAAAAATACCAAACGTCAGGATCTTCTTACGTTCCGAGATCAGTTCCAAAACCCGACGACGTAAATCCAATCGTTGAAGCACCAACGCATGTGCAGCCACTTATTACGCAACCGCGGCAAACTCATAAATTAAAAGTACCATCGTCTTCTCAGGCGGTTTATGTATCGGAATCGGGTTTGATAAAGAAGTCACCTATCAAGTCGATAACCGTGGAAGAAGTGACCATCGAACCTGACCACCTCGGTAACCATCCTTTACCAACACCTAAAGGGCGCACTCTGACCGAGGAAGATTTGTCGGCATTAATCAACGCAGGATACACTGTTACTCCCGTGACGCAACCTGCTAAAACTATTCATTTCGCGCCCGATAACGCATCTGCCGCTTACTATGCGAAGAAACAAAAGGCTGCTCTTACAAGGCCTGAGTACATTACTTACGAGGAGGTGATTCAACGTCCGCGAAAACTTATTAGGAAAAACAGGCCGATTTTGAAGCACGGTGACAAAGAAGTTGATGCAAGTGAAAAAGTTACCTACTTGGTACCACTCGAACCAGCTTTCGGCACGAGACAACCTCCTCTCAAGCACGAAGAGTAATTTGGTTCAAACTTGGCTACTACTTATCATCGTTGCATCGATAATGCGGCATGTAGTTTAAATACTGTTCTCACAGTTTATTTTCCGTTACTTTGATTTCGCATTATAGTATATTACATCAAGATTTCGATGATTTTAAGGTTATGTTTTGTGACTTCAAAATCGAGTCGCGATTTCCTGGTTTATATAAAGCGATATCGTTACTGGAATATAAATTGAAACATAGATACAAAGGAATTTACATTTGTCATGAAATATAAAATTTATTATTCATCAGGATTACAAAGCATAAAAATTGAAATAGTAATGTGATTATTAGAGTGTAGCGATGATTTCATTTGTAGATGCAATGTGAACAGTACTCTGTATTTCTTGACTTACATTTTGCTTTCAGTGTTTCCATCCAGTTTTATATACTGCTTTGAGCACGACTAAAACGAATCAAAGGTATTGATTAACTGGTACAAGAATGTTTATTTCTATAATTCGTGTCTTAAAAGTCGCGAGTAATTCATTGAAAATTTTTTAATTCGAATTCTATGCGTGTAGTCGATCAAATTGAATCAAAGCTTTCGAAGCGTGAATATACTATATAGATTGTTAACATTAATTTTATAGCGTAAATGAGTATATAGTAGTACTCTTGTACGCAGTATCATTTGCAGGCGGTATGTGCGACGGTGCTGAGTCGAATCTTTTTAATTTATATTTACTACTTGTATATATTAGATTTTTACAGAATAAAACAATTCAAAAATTTTGCTTTGTCATGTACAACATATCTTCTATCCTTGTATGGATGCTCCTATTCTTCTTATTACGATATTCATTTTTAAATATTAAATTGGTAAGTATTAGAATGGGCTATTTATTTTAAATAATCATTCGTTAACGCATTATTTTGATAACAATAACATCACAAAATCTCATTTGAAATTACAGATGTATAATGTTTTATATATGTATTCTAAATTATTTAAAAGTAATTAGTACGAAATATGATAATACATAAATTTGAAAAACATGTAACGAACATTAAATGTTTTTACTCAAAGGTGATTCTACTCAACTCTTCCAATAATTCTTTACTATAACTTTTTCGTTTTCATTCAAAATACATGGTATATATTATTTATAACACATTTCGTTTCACGCATAATTATTTATTAAGAATGATTAAGAAGATTGAAAAAAGCGTAAAAAGATAATGTCATGTGAATAATAATTAATTATGTTATGTAATTTATATAAAGTATGCATATAAAAATGTTCTAATTTGTATTATTATTTATCTAAATTTCTAGACATCCTAAGTTTCGTTTCTATAATACCTACTTTTCCAATCCTTTTACAGTAATTTAATATTTTTAATTGTTTAATTAATTACTTTTATAATTAAATATATTTATTTAAGTAATTGAATTGTAACTAGCATTTGTAATCAAAATTTGAATAATTATTTTAATTATTAATATTTTACATATTTGTTTAATTTTTGCAATTCTAGTGTTATCACAATCACGTTAATATTATGTTAACATTCTCTCGTTATTGACATTAATATACATATATAAATTTGTAATTAATAAAATAAAACAATTACTGAAATAAATTTTATATTATTGCTGTAGTAAGATAAAATAAGAATGATAAATTGTTAAAATATGAAAAATAGATAGAATGTTTAAATATGAACATGTTAAACAAAGATAAAGGATATTTTAACAAACAATAAACAATGGTGAAAAGAAGAAACCATTAATAGTAGTAATTTAACACAGGTATTTAACATTTATATATAATTTTTTATTATATTATATTATATTATATTATATTATATATAGTAATTTAACATTTATATATAATTTTTTAATTCTTACTTAAATAATAGTAGACTTTTAATCAAAGTCTAAAGTTTGAGCGAAGGTAATTGAAGAGTTAAATGAAAAATAATCAGTGTCGTAGGACAGTTTCAGTGATGAAAGAAATTTTTAATATTTTAGTTCACAAGAAAAAGAAGGGTTGAATGAATTTATTTACAAAAACATACAGTTGTACTTTCATCTGGTACCAAAGGGAAAGGTAAGTACTTGTATGGGTCGTTACTACCAGCAAAATATATATATTGTACACAGTAAAATCGTTGAAACGAACATTCTCTGTTCTTTTCCCTTTAATCGAAACACCAATCAGAAGTCAATACGTTAGATTTGAACGTGATTTTCTCGTAATACCTAAACTCCATTCATTTATGGTCGTATCATAGCCTCGAGGTCAACTCAAGAATTATACCAAAGAACTCTATCACATGAATCGTAATAAAGGCAAAATTAATTCTATATAAGCAAATTCATTATAATTTCTTATTGTTGCTATTGAATACTTTATTGAGCGTCGAAAATTGGTAATTTGAAGCTATATCTTAGGTTCCAGAATAAAAGAATAAAAATGAAAGAATTCGGAAGATGCGTTTGCAACTTTAGTTTTAAGGTCAATTAAATATAAAAACAATGATAGAAATAGCATGATTGAATCGTGTTACAATTTTATAATTTCATGCAGACTATAATATACAAAGATTATATTTTTAATAGAAATCAATGGAACATGCTATTCACATTCGATTCATATAGAATAGAACGTTTTAAAAAATTAGCGAAAATTCTTGAAATTATTTAACGAAGATTTATTTGATACATAATATTTTCACATATAGCTAAATTTATTTAACAATTTAATAAAATTTTAATAGAAATTGAATAGAATTTTAATAAATAAATTGCTCTTTCAGCGCTATAATACAAGTATTTGGATAAAATAATTTTATCCAAATAATAAATTAAAATTATTACAAAACACATTTTTAAAAATTGAAATATTTAAATTTGATTTAGTAATATCTTGGTAATATCCTTATTACATTATATTTGGCAATCATTAAATATTTTTGTTCTATAATTTTCTATTATACCAAATGTGGCAAAACCTACCATTTTCTAATCAATTAAATTGTTTGATCAAATTTTCTTCATCTGATAAATGCGTGGTCATGACGTAGTTATATTCATATTCATGCAGAGATGGAAGGTAGAAGTACAGGAGATTTGTGAAAGTCTGTATAAAACGGTATTACCCACTGCAATTAAACGTTGTAGACGTAAAATCAGAATAGTCCTTGCTCGAGTTATGTACTACAGGACTTTCTCTCTCTCGCTGTGACATAATCTTTTGAGTGGTTGGAGAGTCGGAACTGAACCGCACATTGAAAACTGGGCTAGTTTCGTTTATTATCACGTACCGTACAGACATGTCAAGAAACTATTGCAACTTCGCTATATTATCGTTGGCCATTCTTTTGGTAACGACGTATACTACCTCTCTCCAGGTAAGAATTATCTCTTTTAATGACTTGTGTAGAGTAACGACTTATTTAGAATATTTGTGCTTTTATTCTGTCATTTAAGTTACCATTGTAATCGTAAAAGTATATAGCTATAACATCAAAATATAATTAATCTCTTGCACTATGATTTAATTCAGAAAAATTACGTATTGGAAAAACATTTAATTTTAGTTAATCACTCTAATCACTCTGTTCTATTCACGATAAAATTATACAATAATTTTGGAAATTTTTCAAATTTTGTGCACGTTAAAGACGTTAAATATAATTTTGCTCGTATCACAAGTGTAGCAAATAATTCTAATATTAGATAAGAACTTATGACAAGTTAGACTCGTTACTGCAGTACAGAGAAGATTAAAGGGAGACGAAAATTAAAAAATCTTTAGTTGTATAAGAAGTGTTGTGTTATAGTGTTCACACATTAAAACAGCAATATTATAATATTTTATTGAACAGAATACGTTAATTTATTGAATGATTTTTGTCATTGAAAAATTAAAATTTTTTGCAAAGATACACAAATTTATTTATTTCTCGCGTATACTATAATGCAAGTAGTTTGCAATTAAAGGTTACGATAAAACTACGTTTACAATTTAGCACGAAATTGCAGAAGGGAAAAGTTGCGATTAAATTGATACAGCACACGAACGAGGTCAAATATGCTTTAAATGAGAAAAGTTTATATAGCTATTTATCAGAAAGTATTTTATCAAGAGAACGTAAGAAATTAATTATTTGTTCTACACGAATTTTATAAATAAAAACGAGTCTTTAATTTATAAATACTCATAGCATATATATATATATATTTACATGGTTAAAGTAAAAAAGTTACATTATTTTAATTATTTTCATTAAATGTTGACAAATTTTATAAATATAAAAGTATTCTTGAAATATATAACTGATTCTTTAATACTGTCATCGATGCATAGTATAATATTATATATTTATTACATACACGCTTATTAATAAAAAATTGTATGATTTTAATGACTTATAAACTATATTTTTCTTCAATTATTACGTATGATAGCAATGGCTAATAAACAAGTACAGCGGATTATTTTTATAGCAATTGCATTATGTTTGTTTAGCATCGAATAGTGGTGGAAGATATCGATTACAATGACCATGAAAGTTATCAGCCAATTTATGAACCAGTAAAATTTGATAAACCAATCGTGGTGAAACCCTACGAGAAACCAAAGGAGCAGCAAGATTTTAGCAAAATTCCTGGCAT